GCATGCTCCGCGTATGCACGCTTCACATTCTCAAGTTGCATAACTGTCAACCTCTACCGCCACACGTAAGCGCCAGTCGCGACACCGTAACATCACGAAACCTTTATGAGAACTGACTGCATCTTTAACCCTCCAGGCGTATGCTCGAACAGGGGCCCCTGAACCCTAAACCCTAACCTCTCAACCCTAAGCCGAAGCCCTACATGAAGCCCCTACTGTTGATGATAAAAATCCTGCATTAGCCTAAGTACCCGAAACTATGGGAAGTATGGTAGATTTCTTGTAATGGGTCATGCAGGATTTATATCATCCACCGTATGAAGCGCCCGCGGATTGCACGGGACTCATGTCTGTGTTCGAACCCTGTTGGGCATGCCCTCAACCCTTAGCGGAGAGCTTACCTTGATTTTTTTATTTATATCTTCGAACTTCAGGGTACGATTGGCGAAAGTTTCCGGTTTATGTTTCGGGACTTCGAAGCCACGAGGCTTTGTGGGATCCTTCAGCAACTCCGTCAAGGAAGTCTCCATCTTCTTGGCAAGTATCACGTGTGCCTCCCGACCAGGGAATCTTAGGGTTCCTTTAAAGGGAGCTATAAGGGTTCCATAAGGATCTTAGGACTATCTCGACCATGGACTATCTGGGTGGTTGTCAAGATTGTGGTCCCTCTTTGGGTCCCTATTATAATACGGCACCTACAATTTAAGGGTACCCCAAAAGGGATCATGATTTTGGCAACCACCCATCTGGACTTGTCGCTATAGGCATTCCGGCTACTTCCCTTGGCCCTAAATCCTCCAATAGAAACCCCAAGACACAAAACCGAAAAAAAAAAACAACTCCAGAGTCCTATCCCCCTGACGACCTGACGAAACTCTGCACTCATCTCATGGGCTCTTCTTGGGAAACTAAGCAGAAGCCACGATTATGGGGAAATCTACTAAAGATCTAGGCGTCGATTTCATCAATCCCCAGACTACTTGTTTATACTTAGGGACCTATCTTAAACAATAAGGGCGATTGACAAGTATCCTAAATCGGTATCTAGAGATTCATTGGCTCAACAAGGACCATGCGAATCGTTATGCTCTAAGACTCCATGCGCCTACATCCTCCAAACCCGAGAGAACGGAATAAAGGAATCCCTTGCAACACCTGTAACATCGCATGACCCCTCCGAACCAGATACATCGAGACACTCAAGAATGACGTGCTCAACTGGCCTGAGGCAACAAGAGCTTAGGCTTTGAGTGCTAAACTTGACAAGAGCATGGCCTCCAATTCCGGCATGACCATACTCCAAAGTTAAGGGTTCAAGCAGCCATAATTTTAGGATAGACAATCGGAGCCAGCAACAAGCGATTCGTCACCTGAACCCGGAGGAATGAGGTGTTACACACTAGGAGCCGTTCGACACCGGCCTGTGTAGTACCAATGTCATATACAGTATCGAATACAGCTCAGAAGCCTAAAACCCTGATGCCCAAAGCCCTCAAACACAACACCTTATCACTTTAAAGCCCCCAAAAGCCCTTGTGGCCTTCTGGTTCACTGGCAACGAATGCCCTTGCTTCAAGGCCTTCTTGTCCTCCAAAGTCGATACCGTTCATTTAAGGTTTTGATATCCAAAAGTCTGGGGTCTACGGGATTGGTTTGGCCATCAGCGGAAACATCAGCAGCAGAACCGAAACCAGCAGCAGCAGCGGCGGCACCCCCCCCCCCCCCCCTCGGCCCCCCCCTCCAGACTGCAGATGGTTGATCCGGGCAGGCTTTCACCCTCGCAGTCCACTAGTTACGAGTGCTCTGACCGACGTTGCAACACCGCCAGCCTCGCTCACCTCTGGCGATCTGGACGACGATGACCCTTGTTTCGGTAACGACGAACAGATGTGTGTGCCTGCACAACACGAACTGCCTGCACAACATGAACCAATACACGAGCCCTTCTGGAACAGCAAAGTCACGCATCAAAGGAAGTTCATGTTCAAAAGTTGAGGTATGCACATATCATGCTAAACTGCACAGGAAACATCAACTGCCTTGTGGTGCTTATTATAGGGACCTTAATAATTAGAATAGGTTTTGGGGCCCATTATACTCTAATTATACTAAGGAACCCCCAAAATAGCAGTGGTAATTATTTAGGCGCCCATATTACCCTCCTGCCGTTCCCGACCACTCCCCGGCATCTTTCCCCATCCCGCAGCCAGAAAACCTGGCGGCGACTTACCAGGACCTTGACTGCTGACACTTTAGAAAAAACGAGTAAACCCTGAATCCTAACCCCCTAAACCTTAAACCCTAAACCCCAAGCCCTAAACCTCCAAACCCTAAACCCTAAATCCTAGACCCTAAACCCCAAACCCGAAACTCTAGACCCTGAAACTCCATGCGGCCACGCTCCCCTCTGAAATCCGGTCCGTTGCATCGAGCTCATGCTTCCAGGAGTCGTAGTCTCTCACAGTCTCGGGCCCCTGGGAGCTTCAAAGTTTCTGGGCGTCGGGGCTTAGGGTTTAGGGGTAATGTAAGGGGTTTAGGGGTTTAGGGTTTGGGGTTTAGGGGTCAGGGTTTTAGGGGTTTAGGGTTTAGGGGTTTAAGGTTTAGGGGTTAGAGGCTTAGAGAGCCTAGGATGGTAGTGATTGGTTGAGTCAATGTAGGCCTGTCAGGTTCTGGGGCTTAGAGTGCCTTGTCCGTACCGCGGTCGTCTTTCATTGTCACTCTTGCATCGTCAGGATTAATTTCGTGAACAGTCGGAATGAGGAGGGTGCCCGAGTATTTGCTAAACCTCAGCATCCCCAGCCCATATCGTCTCAGCGATGACATCATTGTTCAGTCCATTTCGCCGTTTTGGCTTACGGGGTCAGGCTTCCTGCAGGTCGAACCCGAATTCCCCAACCCTAAACCCAACCCTCAACCAGAGCCCCGACCTCCGAAAGGCCAATTATGGCGCGCAGATTAGTAACAGGGCTATATATTGTATTGTGCTTGTGGTTGGGGCGTCTGCTAGGACTGTGTTGCACCTAAGATTCGCTGGTCCCGAAACTCTTACTTCGACAACACTGACACTCACAAAGGGAATCTTGCTATGTCGCTAACTTAAACTAATTAGCATCGTAAGCTAGGGGAAGTATCGTATGTTCCTGATTGAAGCAATCCCGAGTCTAGAATCCAGACCCCTTAAAGAGTCCCTACTGAGGGATGGCTGTATTTGCCGAGTCTCCTCACACTCCACCATGCGCTGGTCCTCGATCTGCAACACGCACCTTGCGGCCAAGGCTTTGGGGCTTCGGCCTTGGGCTTAAGGTCATCTTCCTGCGCAGCGGCTGAAGCTTCCGGGTGCTTCGAATCTGCTATCTGAGTGCCTTTTGTCCACCTGGGACTACCCCGTAGATCCGGGTGTTTAGGGACAAGGCTTAGTTCATTTCGGGCTTGAGGTTGAGAAGTACGGCAAGGCTCCCCGGGACGCTCTCAACCCTCACCCGAATTAGCCCATCCACCCTGCCCCCGAACGCGATGGACGGCCTGTTCATCTCGTCTTTCAACGTCATAAGCTTGTCGACGTCTGAGACCGTCCTTTGCATCTCGCCCTTGGTACCTCCATGCGTTCTATTCTAGGGCCAGGTCTTGGTGGCGGTAGTGGGGCTGTTGTTTGTTATTGTCTGTTGTTGCTGTTGCCGTTGCCGTCGCCGTCGCCTTGGTTTTCCTTGTCTGCTCTCGTTGTGGTCGTCGTCGTGGTCGCGGTTGTTGCCGTTGCTGTTGCTATTGCTGCTGCAGTTGCTGTTGCGGCTGCTGTTGCAGCTGCAGGTGCAGGTGCTGGTGCTGGTGCTTGTGCTGGAGGTGATGGTGTTGGTGGTGGTGGCTGCTGTGGCTGTGGCTGTGGCTGTGGCTGTGGTTGTGGCTGTGGCTGTTGTTGGTGTTGCTGCTGTTGATTTTGTTGTGGTTGCGGCTGCGGCTGCGGCTGCGGTTGCGGTTGATGTGGTTAACGTGATTGGTGTTGCTCTTGGTGGTGGTGGTGGTGGTGGACCTCAAAACCCGACACACCCAAACCCCAAGACCTCCACTCCAAACCCGAATCTCCCAGATTCAACACCCACATGCCTTCCGAGGAAGTGTTCACCATCTTCTTTTGGAGGTTTTGAAGATGGATATTCTTTTTCAAGTCGTCCTTCGATGGATATCGGTGTCCCAGTGATTTTCCATGGCAAACCTGCATCGGCGCTTAATATAGGGGCCTTAATGATTAGAATAGGGTCTTGGGGTCCATTATACTATAGTTATAATACGGAACCCCCAAAACAGTATAGGTAATTATTGAGGCCCCTATAATGTTTCGGGTTTAGGGCTTCAGGCTTAAAGGCACTTATAGGGGCCTGGAACTTGTGACATACTCACAGCTGGAAGATGCTGACAGGGTTTTGGCCCTATCATCGGCTTATAGAACCAGAAAGGAGCGATCCCCCACCTACCTCCGAGATCAAAAAAAGAAGGGCGCTGCAAATTCAGCAGGGCAGCCACTTCGGCAGTAGTGGCAGTGGCGACCTCGGATCCTTGACTGCATCCCATCCTTCCGATGAGCCTCGTGAGTGGCCTTGACTGTCTACGACAGGGACGGATTCTACGAGAGGCACGCGGAAGGCAAACCAGCTCTAGCAAAGCTTGGAGCCACTGTTGCGGTGATTCGGCGAGACGTGCAAACAGCATAATATAGGGATTAATAATTAGAATAGGGTTCTGGGGCCCATTGTACTTTTAGAATAATAAGGCACCCCCAAACTAGTACAGGTAATATTAGGGCCACTAGATTAGAGCTGCGACTCCACCCCTGCACATGCACTGATCGTGAAGAATCCCCAAAGTGGGAACCAGGCACCAGAAACTTGAACCCTAAACTCGCGACCCTACACCCTTAAAACCCCTAAACCCCTAAACCCAAAGCCCTCGACCGGACCCGAGCTTGAGGGCGAGCTTGAGGGCACGCTCAGTCAACATGCCAGCTAGACGTTTCTGTGGCGACTGCCGCCGACCCTCCTGTCTGCGACAGCGCAGGAGCTTTATGCACAGGCATAGACATAGATACAGAGCAACCTGAACCTTTTTACATACGTCACTATGCAGACATATTTTACGCGTTCATGGAGATAATTCCTGCACTACTACAAGCATGTAGGGAACCCAAAAACACTTCTTCTGCATTCAGGCATGTTTGCGTCATCCAAACTTCCGGCAGCATGTCCTGCACCACAACTGTATCCCGGATCCACATAGCGGCATAGCGCTTAGGGTAAAGATGCTCCCTCCAGGACTGATGGGGTTCTAAGCTGTTTGAATCTTGGGGTCGCCAGCGCCCTCAATTGCAAACCCTATATGCTCAACAGCGTCCAAGACCAAGAGCTTGCCGGCTACCCACATGATATCAGAGATCCCAAGCCCGGTGCCCTAATTGCTATTATATTCTGGGCAAGCTGCCCAATGCTGTGCCAGTGTACGTCACCAAGCACCACAGGCCGTGCACCGTGTACGACCAGCACCACCAGGATGACCACCGCACCGCGACGGTCGGAGTCGACCACCACGACAACTATGACGATGACCAAGAAGACCAAGAACACCGGGGCGACAGCAACGACTAGGAGCAGGGCGACTACCAGAAGCTGCAGGATCGCTCTCCTTTGCTGGCACGGAAGATTAGGAGTCCACACGAAGGATCCCAACGACCTCATCGCGTGGCCAAGCGGGGACTTAAAGCACATTTGTTTTGGAAGGCCGGAGAGCCCCGCCCAAGAATGTGCGCGGAACTTCAGACACGAGGTGCCCGCAAAATGTGCACCGCGCGGTGCCGGGAGCGCTGCCACCGGGGGTTGGAAACCTCCGGGACTGTGGAAAATCGTTTCCTTTCGTACAGGGCCACGGCGGCCACGGACGAGCCCGAGAGGCCGAATGTGTGGCTCTGGGACTTTGGACATTTCGAGCGCGGAGGCGAATGAATCGGGTAGATCAGGCCCTAGCGTGTCGTGTACTCATGCGGGACACAGATCCAAAAAATGTGCATCGTCCCACCTCGCGGTCACTGCCATTGAGACCCTCACTACAAATATCACCCCAACGGCGTGTGCCACATGTCTTGGGAATAGAAACACGCCGGCTTGTCGTCATGGCGCCTACGACGACGAGTAGTCATGTGTCAGTCCGACTCTTGTGTCCTCTATGCACACAGCTTGGCCTGTGGCTTATAGTCGCTGAAATATGAATGTTTGAACTGCAGTAACTATTATGGGTCAATGAGCAAGATCCTGCAGACCTGAAACCCTAAACCCTGTAACTAACTGGGGTCAGCCAGTAGTACAGGACCAAGGCTGGCATCATAAGATGACATCGCGCCAAACCCCAAAACCCTAAACCCCGAACCCGAGATCTGACTGCCGAGCCTTAAAGTGCAAACCAAGAAATTGGAACCGTAAGCAAAAAAAGGTCAAGCGAGAGCGCAGCGATCCTACGGAAAGAACACCGTGAAGGATGTCCAAGTAGGTCTCCTTGCAGTCTTCGGTTTGCAGAAGTTTTGTTTGTCGGTGTTAAGGCTTTTGGCATCTTAAGTGGTCCACGGTTTGCTGTTAGTTAAGGGCACTGAGGTACCTTTCAGGTTTAGGGGTTTAGGGTGTATGGCTTATCTAGGGTTCGGGATTGAGGGCTTGCAGAATCGCAGATAAACTTGCGTTTGGCTGCCTTAACTTGTTGCGGTTGAAGTTGGTCACAACATGTTCCACAGCTGGTCGCTTCGAATTCCTGCAGTCGGCCTCAAGAGGAAGCATGCAAACCTAAACCCTAAGTCACAACCCCCAAACCCCAAACCCAATCCTTCGAGGTAGCAGTCTGTACTGCGGAGTTTCTGTAAGGCCCGAAGTCCTAGAACGCAACACGATCACACACCCTGTGTGCTCCGTAATGATTCCTACCTTGACCACAAGGGCCTAGATAAGAAGTTCATGATAAGAAACCTAAAACTTAAAAGGTGAGTTTTGACGGGTCCAGGTGAGCCAGAATCTAACAAAAACATAGCTGCAATTTCCTACTAGCCCAGTCTACAGGAAGAGGGTTCTTAATGCCATAAGTCCTGAACCGAACCGTTCAAGGTTTAGGGTTTCTCGACACACGCCAGCCTCTAGGCCATATTGCTCAGAGTGGTCCACGAAAAATCTCTCCTGCAAGTAGCTGCGGGGCTCATATGTTTTTTGAAACACGTGCGGGTCGAGGATTTCGTGATGCCCCGTGATATGCCCTTTGAAACGATCACGTTCTCGACATTCTCGATTTCCAACAGAACTTCAGACATTCGCGGAATGTTTCTAGTTACCGCTCCCCTTCTGAGCTGCTGAGAATGCCTCAAGGATCCTTGACTGGAGCAACCATATAATGATGACCGTCATGAAACATGGTGCCTGGACATCTGTGTGCATGGACATGTGTACATCTGCGTGTTCTGTACGTATATAAGCATGAACGAACGTATGTATGTACGTACCTACGTACGTATGTATGCATGCATGTACCTATGTACATGATGTATTTTGCATGCTAATTTTCAACCTCTACATAGCTACATATTGTGTATATACACACACGTATATTCTGCATGTGAATGTATGAGCCGTCAGCGGCTTCCAAGCGAGCCCGACTCAAACCCCGTCACTCCGAAGCCTAAAGCTTTTACACAGCGCAGACTGAACTGCTCGGGTGGCGGAGACCCTTCAGTCCTTGCAAGAAGGGCTAAATGCTTTTGGGGCCCATTATTCCATACTTATAATCAGGAACCCCCAAAGTAGTATTGGTGATAGTTTGGCCCCTATAGTAGTCAACGGAACCTCGATAGTTCGACCAGGGTATCGTTCCAAAGGTTGCATGGGTGTATGTGTCGTTTACAAAGGGCGTTAAAGGCACGCCGGATAAAGCTGAAAAAAAGGCCGAAATAATTAGAATAGGGTTTTGGCGTATATCAGAATAAGGAACCCCACAATTAAGCCCCCCATACTAGAATAAAAGTGTTGTCCTCCAGGCGAAGCAGCAAAGTCTGAAGAACCGCAGGTACACAGGCGGCAGCAACATGATGCCATCCTGCCGTATGGTGTAGGGGGCTTAATAATAAGAATAGAGTTTGGGGATTCCATTGTGCTGTACTTATTATAACCCCCCAAAATCAAAATAGTAATAGTAATTGTTTAAGCCCCTATAGTAGCGCTTTGGGATGTCAGGCGGGACCCTCCAAGGTAATTGCCCCGAGCCACAACGTTCTGGTCATTAAATCATACGAGTAGTGGGTAGTACTTAGGGCTTGCCTGGGGTTTGACTGCGGGGGATTAGGGGTCTGAGATCTTCTTGCGCTATTGAGTCTAAGGTCTGCCCTTTGCATCACTTACTGCCTTCATGTACGTAATTCGCCGCAAGCCCTACTCGATCCCTCAGGTTTTGGGGACGTAAGGCCTTTCGGGCTTTGGGTTCAGAGATCCCTTCGGCAGCAACACCGGGTCCCCATCAATCGGCACTCGGAAAAACCTCCCATGTGATAGAAAGGTGCCTCCAGAACTGGCCGCAGCTCGCAAGACCTGAATCTGTAATATAGAGGCCTTAATAGTTGGAATAGGGTTTGAGGGTATATCATAATAAGGAACCCCACAATTAGGACCCTATAGTAGAATAAGGGTGTAGGATTGGGGACGTAGATTTGGAGCAGTTTAGGGTGCAAGGACGGATTGGCGGTGTTAGTAGGGCAGGGCATGCACCAAATAGTCGGAAGCCGATGCGGGTCATGATAGGTCATGCTTGTCGGTTTTTCACATGTATGGGGTCTATGGTGTAGGGATAGGGGCTACCTGAGAGTTCGGATTCAGGGTCGTTGTTCGCCCTTCTTCAGGAACACGTGTTGGAGCCTGGGGCCCCGCGGGGATGAGATTGGGTTCTGTGTGAGCAGACCGCACTTAGCCAGTGTTTGTTTACACGGTGTTGCTGCTTTGCTTGTATGCTTTGTGGGTTTGGTTTTTGCATCATAAGTTGACCTAAAGCAAGTACCTTGCTGTTAACTTCTGAAGTCTGAGCTTTGCTGAGCTGTGGGAAGAGCCTGAAACCACTTCTATTTCAGTTTGGATGAGGGCTCTTGGCCCAGCCGACGACATTTGGATGTAGTTCGGGCTGCAGGTCTTAAAGAAAATTTAGGGGTCTACATAGGAGTTTACGGTTAACATCATACTGACTCGACATAGTGGCGGCATCACAGTCTCTTAGCGGTCTCCCAACAGTTTCTCGAGCGGTCTCTCAGTATGCTGGCGGTCTCCGGGGCTTGCTGGCATTGCATGGCATACGTACCTGCTCAAAAAAATCTGGGCCCCGACGTTCCCCATGTTGATGAGGAGGTTAACATTCACCTCGGTTTTGTGTTGCAGGATGTGGCTGACAAAGGCCCGAAGCAAAGCCACCTGCGTGGCTATCCTTGTATATGAGAAGAAAGCCAAGCCTGCCTCTCTGACCACCCAAAATTATTGCCGGTTTCCATCGCTCCTACTGAAGCATGCGAAATGTTGAAGCTCTACTAGCGAGCGTGGGATGAAAGCCAATCAACCTTGGTTGTGAATCCCTGAGACAACCGGCCGAGTCCTAATGGTCATAACGGCTACGACATGACAATAATAGATATTCATCGTGACAGTAGAGTCCTCAATCATTTGTAAGGACCGCAGTAGAAATTGGCAACGTGAGGTGGCAGGACCATCGGAAGTTCAGAAGCAGAAACAGGAACAGCAACAGCACGATTGTTTGTTGAGGTGAGCGAACATCACCGTACTGATGAAACACCCCAGCGCATGCTTGTTGTAACAAGCAAATTCATTGTGGAGCAGCAGCGGTAGTAGCATAGTTGTCAGGAGCAGTTGCTGTTGTCATGGCCATCGTCGTTGTCTTCGCCGATAGGTCAGTCGCTCGTAGATGGATGGGCCGGCAGTTAGGCAGGTGAGCAGCCATGCAAGCAAGGCAAACTGTCCGGTACTCAGTTGCAGGGAAAGCAAAGCGTAGTCGAGAGTCCTAAAGCGATCGTCGCCGTGATTACATGAGGAAGAAGTGATACGACAGTACGTCTTGAAGGAACGCCGGAGGGAATAGCAGCAGATCCTCTTTATCACCTCAGCGATCATGACATGCTGCCCGCCCATGCACGAAGCCGAAACCCCAAAAGTCTGAACCCTTTCTGCACAGGTGGGTAGTAAGGCGCCGTCCACGCCCGACTCATAGAACCTTGCGTCACGAAGCGCCCATGGTTCCGGGTTGAGCGTTCAGGACCCCGCGCCCGCGCGCGCGAAGCATGCGAGCGTGAAAGTTGGACAAGCATGGGTTTCGTGGGATCGAACACACAGTCTGAAGCTTCGAGACACGGAAAATACTGCTCCAAGCAGCATTTCGTCCGTGGTTCGCAAAGCGGGGTTCTTCGAAGTTCAGGTGTAGAAGCTGCAAGGTTCGGAGAGGATTCTCGCATGACCTATTCCAAAAGGGTCCAAAGTACCTATATAGTAGAATGTACGGTTTCTACATTTGGAATCCTAATTATGCTTTGGAAAAGTATTTGGGATTGTACAGTGTCCATTTGCGCGTGCGTCTGTTGAAGGTGTTTACGGTTCGGCCATGGACTCCCTGGTAATCGGATGGGGTGTGGGTGGCCATTTGAACTGGATGCTCTGGAAAATAGATGGGGTCTCTATACTGAACTTAGAACCCTAGCAAAAAATACTATTTTAGCTGTTTCTTAGCGGGTTATAATAACCAGAAAATGAAAAAATCTAAGTACCCTAAGGTCTGAGTGGGCGTTGAGGCTCTGAGCAGACTTCATTGCGCTATGGCCAGGGCTGCACTGGCAATTGGAAAGGTCTGAGTGACGGATGCTCTGGAAATCGAGTGGGTCTGAGTGGGCTCTATTGCGCTTAGACCATGGATGCTCTGATCTGGGGATGTGGTCCAAGTGCAGAAGCTGCAATGCCCGGTTTTCCGAAACCACTGCGCAGGACGAGACTTTGTGTATGGCCTACGGCCTATGTCCGGAGATGCATCCCGGCCCACACACTGGCTGATTTCTCAAAAGCAGGCCAGACGAACTCCTCCGCTGCTGCACGGAGTGCCTGCACGGCGCAGTGAATAGCTTGAGGCTTTTGGCATTCGTTGGCTACCAAGCTACCATTCATGAAGATTGAACTCTTGGTCAGCCTAGCACATATGAACTTACCTTTGCTGTCGATTGTCTGATCAATAATCTCAATGATTTTGTCAGGGCTGACTCACTGAAGCAGGCTCTCCCAAACTGGGGTCCGTTGTTAGCTAAGTGTCAAGTCCACATGCGTGGCCGTTGGCTGCGTGGACGTTTGCGTGGTCTGCGTGGACCGGTTCATGGTCGCGCTCCACAGAGTTACATGCTCATACGTGCTGTGGTGCGTTTAGGGCGGTGGCCAAAACGCACTGAGCTCTTTGAGGTATACATGGAATGGAGGGCGGGCGGGGGGTACCACAACGGGCTTGTTGAGGGTTTCCCAACGCCATCGAATTAGAAGGGCGGGCAAGGGGTCCCGGAACGGGCTTGTTGGGCTTGTTGAGGGTTCCCCAACGCCGTCGGACAGTGCGTTCTTCCAGGCCCCCAAAACGCACACAGATCTCCGCACTGCATAAAGGCCCCAGGCCCCGTGCTTTCTTGAAGGCCTGCCAAAAGGCACACTGAAGGTCTCCAGGCGCTGCGCAAAGGCCCCAATGGCCCCCAAAACACACACAGGTCTCCGCACTCACAAAGGCCCCAATGCGTTCTTCCAGGCCCGCAAAACGCACACAGGTCCCCAGACTGCATAAACAGTGCGTTCTTGAAGGCCCCTCAACATGCACACAGGTCGGCACAAAGGCGCCAGTGCGTTCTTCCAGGCCCCAAAAGTGCACACGGGCTCCATAACACTGCAGTACAGTACTCTTCGTCATGTGTCTGTCTGGCTCTGTGCGTTTTTTGTTGCGAAAATGCATGACACGCTACAAAATCTCTTGCCCAACCCCCTTGATCCATGTGGTAAGACGCTGGTCGACAACTCAGGTTGTGGGTCCCTGCAAAAGCGCATGCGTGGACAACGGGCTGCGTGGACGGTTGCGTGGCCTGCGTGGACGGATGGTGCGCGTGGACAGACACATGCGTGGACAGGACACTCAGGTTAGTTGAAGCTCGTAGCAGCAGCAATTATAGCTGACTATACTGTACAAAACGCTTCGGATAAAGCCGGCACACTGCTGCTGGAAAAGTATGCCAAAGTGAACTTGCCACGTGCCCAGCAATGCAGATGAAGACAAAGGTCACACGACAACGACGAAGACGACATGCAGTAGCGTAGGAGCCTTAGTAATTAGAATAGGGTTTTGGGGCCCATGATACTATACTCATATTAAGGAACCACCACAATAGTGTTGGTAATTAATTAATCAAGCCCCTACAATAGGCCTCGAAGCCGTCCCCGCATGCGTCCACTCCTGGTGGGGCCGCGGGCTCCTGGCGTTCTCGAATTAGGGTTTAGGGTTTAGGGGTTTAGGGTTTAGGGTTTAGGGGTTTAGGGGTTTACGGGTTTAGGGTTTAGGGGTTTAGGGTTTAGGGGTTTAGGGTTTACGGGTTTAGGGTTTAGGGTTTAGGGGTTTAGGGTTTAGGGGTTTAGGGCTTTACGGGTTTAGGGTTTAGGGGTTTAGGGTTTACGGGTTTAGGGGTTTAGGGTGTAGGGTTTAGGGGTTTAGGGATTGATGTCTTTTTTTCCGGGTGCTTCTGGGGTTTAGGACGTATAGGGTTTAGGGACACGGGCTGGGCAATGACATGGGGTTTTAATTAAAAGAGTTCCATAAGGATGTTCTAGGAGTTTCATGCGGCTGTTACAGGGTTTAGTTGGAGGTTTATGAAGACCTCGTAGAGTCTGATAAAGGGTCTTATAGGGCCTCTGATGGGTTTTATGGGGTTTGGGGTTTCGGTCGAAGGTACAAGTTTTACCGTTTTGGGGGTTAAGGGTTTACGGCTTGGGGGTATACGTTAAGCCCTAAACCCTAAACCATAAACCCTAAACCCCTAAACCCTAAACCGTTAAGGGTTTAGGGCTGTTTAGGGTCCGAAAACCTTCAGCTGAACATGCTTTTGTCGAAGCCGAGACCTCCACAGAAACGCCACTCCCTCAGCTGCCGTAAGCCTAGGGTTTAGGGTTTAGGGGTTTAGGGTTTGGGGTTTAGGGGTTTAGGGTTTAGGGTTTAGGGGTTTAGGGTTTAGGGTTTAGGGGTTTAGGGTTTTGGGTTTACGGTTTAGGGGTTTAGGGCAACACCTCTGTCGATCCTGCCAATAATCATCCTCTTCAGCCTCGGCGGCCTCAGATCAGTGTCAAGACTCTGAGCTGCGGCGTCTTTGTTTAGAGGATAAGGCTTCTAGCCAGGATTTCGGGACCACGAGTTTGGGATATAGTGCTCGGACGTGCGTTAAGGTTTGGAACTCAAGTAGCAAGGTCTTAGAAGATTTGGGCCGAGGTTATCGTACTCTTTGTATGTCTAGGAGGTGGGTACTAGTATAAGTGTCGCAGATGAACATCAAAGACCTAAACACCATTTGGGCGTTGCGCTTCGATCCCTTTTTATAACTATGGTACAATGGGCTCGAAACCCTATTCTAATTATTAAGGCTCCTTATATTATAGAACTCGATTATAGGCCCCTTGTCTGCTGGAGCTTTCCAAGCCAGCGCAGGGGTCTGTAATACAGGGGGCCTGAATCAGTAGACTAGGGTTTCTTTAAAGGGTCCCTTTACAGGGCTCTGTAAGGGACCCATAATAGATTTTTATAATATGAGGAGCCTTTATAATTAGAATAGGGTTTCGGGACCCATTTTACCATAATGATAATAATAATAATAATGAGGAGCCCCCAAGAATAGTGTAGTTAAGCCTCTATCTTCGGTCTCAGGGTTTCGGAGACAGAGGTTCAAGACGACCCCACGGCCCCACGATATGGGTCACACAGAATACTGACAACGCCCGGGAGAGTGCCGTCTCACTGAAACACTTCGTGCCTAACCGTAAACCCCTAAACCCTGCACCATCCCACACCTCTACACCCCTACCCCCCTAAACCCTAAACCCCAAACCCGAAGCCCCTAAACCTCTACACCTATATACGGCCCATCAAGCCCCCCGAAGCCCCCTATTTTTTCCAAGCTCGCGACGCCACAAACCTTGAGCCAGGAGATCTCTCCCTGCGCCGAATCTCGGCTTAGAGGGCAGGTTTCAGGTTTAGGGTTTAGGGTTTTTGGAGTTCAGGGTTTAGGGTTTTAGGGTTTAGGGTGTGGGGTTGAGGGTAATTCTATCGTTTAGGGTTCAGGTTTTGGGGTTGAGGGGTTTATTTAGGGCATGGTGTGTAGGCTCTTTTAGCTCCTTTTCCACGGCACCCAGGGATCAGAGAGGCTTACACAGCCAGGACGATTCATAGGGTTTAGGGTATAGGGTTTGGGGTGGATGGGCGGAGGGGTTTAGGGTTTAGGTTTAAGTTTTGGGGTTGAGGGGTTTGTTTAGGGTTTACCCGGACCCTAAGAAGCCACATCTGTGGGGTTACTTTTTGACTATGTTATATCAGTCCTGAAAACGTAGGTTGTTTGGGATTAGATAAGGTTTGGGGTGTGAAGAGACGCATGGCTCGAACATCAAACCTTCGGAACTTAACGACTTTCAGCTTACAGTACCGGGGCGAAGCGCCTCAAACCCTAAACAACCCTGAACCCTACTCGAGTACACTGGGTACCTTCCGAGAAAACCCACCTTTTGCAACCAGTCTTCGGCCTCCATTCATACCATAATGTAGGGGCCTGGTTAATTCGTATCGGGTTCGTTATATAAGGGCTCTATAAGGGATTCAGGGATATTAGGGGCCTTAATAATTCGAATGCGGTTTTGGGGACCAAGCCCCCGATATGGTATGGGTTGTTGTTTAAGCCCCTATGTTACCATACCAAGGGAAGCATACCTGTCGATCCTAGCTTAGGGTTGAAACCATGAATCTCCAAACCATTCAGCACCACCCGCCAGTCCAAATCAAACCCGAAAGCCATCCAACAGACCCGAAACCCCGAACCCCACTCCCGAACCCTAAACCCTAAACCCTAAACCCCACTCCCGACTCCCGGAAGCCCAACCACACTACACCCTAAACTTGAAGCCCACCCGGTCCGCACCTGCGGGCTGACGACGGGATCAACCTTGTGATTTGCTTGAGGCATTCGCAGTTGAAGGTTCTTCGGGCTTTGGGGTTCCGGCTTTCTGGATTGCTCGCAAGCTCGTGTCGGGTTCATCGTCGGCTTGACAACGTGCCCACTAGTCTGCCCTGGAAGTCGGAGTTCGCCATGTCAGGCTGCAAGCGAGACATTGCCTGTGTTGATTCCTTCTGGTCTGCCAGTTACGGTTTAGAGATATGCAACATGGGATTCCCCACTAGCTGACCACCCAACACCGTCCTCCAAATGGCCATTGGCCGAAAACAGAAGCCCGCAGGTTGGAATTTCTTAATCGCCGCAAGGCGGAACCCTGCAAGTTCTAGCGACAGAACTCTCCAACTTGGAACTTCCCCCCTACCTTTCCGCAGAACAGTATGGAGCCGAACAGCTTGAAGCGCAGAAAGACGTAGCGTCGCAGAAAGCGGCACACACACACACTCGCGCGCGAAGTTAGCGGCACCCAGCCACAAGAGACAAGCATATGCAAGAAAATAAGCAAGCACAGCAGCAGCTGCAAGAATCATTAAGCTAAGGCAAGAAGTACGAAACCCTGGGGTCAGGAAATGGCAATACTTGAGCAACAGCTTGGAACCCAAACTGGGCCGGGTTGGATTTCGGCTGCGCTTGGGGATGCTGATTTTTGTGTTGGGGTTTGGCGGTTTAGCACTTAGATCCCGGAGGAACTCCTCTCATGATCCTTCGTGCTGAACCCTGAATGCGCTAATCTCTCTTCGGCTTACGGCTTGCGAGTGTTGTGGTAAGGTCCCGTCTTCAACTTCTTCTGAGAGTTTGGCAAAGAGCCTTTACCAACAAAGGCCACGACTAATCAATCACGACAAACCCTAAACCCTAAACCCAGGCCCGGGACTGCCCTTTCTGCCGCGAGGCTCGGGCAGCGTCTTGTGGTATAGTAGAAGCTCAATAGTCTCTACACTGACTCTACACACTTGTATGAACGTCCCACACCCCAAACAGGATGTGGGCAGTTCTTCTCAAACGTCCCATACTTCCGGTAGGACATCGTGACACAGATTTCGAAAGAAAGAAGGTTTCAATGCACTGTACTTGTATTCAGATGACTTGGGACGAGCAGCCTCCCCCTCAAGATGCTAGACACTCCACTCTCCACGGATCAAGGCTCTTGACTCAAAGGAGTTTAGGGTGTTGAGCCCGTCCTTCTAAGTTCCACCGCCAAACCCCGGAACCCTACTAACCCTACACCTCCGCAAGTTGCCGGGTCTTGCGGCACCAGTAACATGCTGATAGGAAAGCTTTCGGCTGACTCAGATGGTGTCGGAGATCGGGTGCACGCCCAGAGACCACTTGAGAATCGTGAACTCCACAACTTCAAACCAGCTGAAACCAAGACACATTGAACTCTTTAGGAACCCGGGCCTGAGTATAAGTACCTTAAGCCCTAAACCCTTTAGAACCCTATTGGTACCGTATCGATTCCGGGGGGATCTTTGCTCCTCCCAAGCACGTGGCTGCCGGCCTGCTATCTGCTATCTGCCACCGACAGCTGTCGTGACGAATTGTGAGCAGATCATGAGACCATGACTAGTGTTGCTATTGTGATTGCTACTATCTGTCTTATTATTGCTATTATAGTTTTTTGATTAATACTAGTAGTATTACTATTACTATTGCTATTGTTGGTATGATTATTCATTCTTGTTATTGTGGTTCTTCCTTGCAGCAGAAGGCTGCCAGAGAAACGGCAAATGCCTCGCACCGATGCGATCGGCTAACGTAAAACTGGGTGTCCGATCCAGTTTGCTGTACCGCCGGCAGCTGCAATGGATGCAGGGGCCTTAATGGTACAGCACTGGGCCGCGCACTTATGCGGCCAATCTGGTCTTGGGCTTTGCACTTTACAACGACGGGACTTCATGGAGAGCCAGTAAACAAGATGTGCTGCTATTGTGTTCGTCTGATTAATTTGCAAGTATCACCATTATTTTTAGTGTTTCAAAAGAACAATATTAACAGACAAATTAGTATCAATAGAAACATGCTGTTATTAGTATACTCCCGAAGTCATTGCTTCAGCCAGGAGCCTTCAGGCTTAGAGCTGAGGGTGACGTACCCTGGCGGCCATGCGGCACTCTTGCACCCGCAATGCGCGCCAGGGTTGTTGGGAGGGAAAAATTTACCTCTGGTTCGTAGGGAATGGAAGAATGGTAGCAGTAGTAGTTATAATTGTAACCCATTCCTCCATTCCCCACTAACCAAAAGGTAAGAAAAAACATTAAGCAAAAGAGAGCTAAGTGGGCGCGCTGGTCTGGATCCGGACACGACTCCCATGTGGCTTCATGACCTAGGCAGTTGCTCGACTGATCCACGGTCGAGTGAAGTTCCTCGGCAAGGCATCGGCGAAGCTTTCTTCAAGGTCGGCTAGTCAGATAGTTCAAACCTGATTAATGAACCTCAGAGCATGAAGAAACAGACCGACATGAAAGTTTCGACCCTGATTTGTAGACTGAACGGGGTTCTGAAGCGCGAATGAGCAGCCACCCGTGTGGCTGGGGCGATGTCGCCTTTCGGGCTTCATCTGGATCAGACCGCCTCCAGTAAGCCCTAAAGCGGAATTCTTCATATGAGCCCTGCACCATAAGCCACTAATCCTACACCTTAACTTCCAAACCCTAACTGAAAGCTATGCTTAAATCCTATACTCGCCTCCGGGAAGCAACCTCCTTCTGGAGTTTGTGCCTGCCTGAAAATGTAGAGAGCTCCTTGCACCCGCTTCTGAAACGCTTTGTGAGTTCTCAAGTTTGCTGAGATCCCTGGCCTACTGATAATCGCGAGCCTTCTGAGAATTTATAGTTACGGGGGAGTGTGTGTGTGTGTGTGTGTGTGTGGAACACCTGTTTGCCAAGGTTTGCTGACATGCATTATTTTTGCAGGGGGACGTGGCATGAGATCAGGGACCACGTCCAATGAAGCTACCTGATCTCATGGGAAGCAGAGCTTGGCCAGCTCTGTGTACCTGCAGTACAGTGCTAGCGAATGCATTGGAATGGCACTGGGGCCAAGCCATAAACCCCATATGAGTGCAGTTTTGTTTAAGGCCAGAGGTAAAGCCTAAATCCTCTTAAAGTCCTACACCTCTGAATGATTCGACTGAAATTCTCGAGAGTTACATCAGTCCAGAGGGAGGATTGCACGAGTGTGCTCTAGACGGCTTTCGTCGATCGTGTCGTCTACGGTAGGGTAGCCTACTGCCTGGCCCTGATCGGCCCAGTCAAAATCACAGGACCCTGATCGGTCCAAGCCCTGATCGGCTTAAACCCAAAGCAAGACCTCTTGGTCTCAAACTCGAAAATGCTCTACGGAGCAATCATCTGTAGTTCAAGGCTTGATTGCCTAGTTGCAGACAGGACTGATGCCTTCTCGTTTCACAACAGCCGTCAGTCTGATCAAGCAACTGTTTTCCCCTGGACAACTGATTTCGCCATGGCCTCCTGGTCATCATGGTCTAACAGCGACTCCAGCAACAGCTGGGACAACAGACAGCAATGGAATCGATGGAGCAAAGAAGACAAATGGGACTCCAAATACTCTGAGAAATCGTGGGAACATGTAGCCAGCCCCACATATCAATCTTTCTCTTTGCCGTCTTCTTTTGTTTCCGACGAGCAGCACTACGACAAGACCCCTTTGGGCAAAGGTGCTCATGTGCTGCATAAGTTGGTTCAACCGACAGAGTGGTCTCGCAAAGCTGGGTTAGCTGGCCGCGATGTCAGTGACATCCGTGTCTTTGAGCTTGCTCATCGCGGCCTTGGAGATTTCTCATTTCGGTTGCTGTCGGAAGGACGGCATCAGAGTATCGTCTGGGCTCGAAGTGGCCAAGAATCGGTACTCATTACGGCATTGTTGAAGAAGCTTCGTGAGAGTGGTGTTTCTATCGATGAGGCAGCAAAGGCTTGCCACAGTTCAGCTCCTCCAGACAAGCATAAGGAGGCAATGCGATTCATGGAACCGCTTGCTCAAGAACTTCTGAATTGTGTTCTGGCCAAAGCGCCTCCAACAAATTCGGATGCCTCGGAAGAGCTTGCCAAAGCTAAAGCCAAACTGGCTGAGCATGGCATTGCAATGTCCCCTTTGAAAAGGAAGGCAACTGAAGATCCTGAGCCAGACTCAGGAAGACGGGCAAAGCCCGCCATGCCTATTGCTGAGCCGGAATCCCAGATGGAAGCTGAACAGCTCCTTAAAGATCCACAACGAAAGCTGGATACTCGCCCCAAAGGAGCCACAGATGACCATGTCACTGAATGGCTGGCCACCTACAAGAACAAGCCAGAGTTTAAAGGCAAGTACCAGTTGCTGGTTAAGCATGTACAGACTGTTCAGAAGCTTCTCAAAACTGAAGCCTCTAAAGATCAATTGGTTTCAGCTGCTAAAGAGTTTGGACTGGATCCAAAGCTGGCATCCAGACTGTCGATTAAGAATTTGTCTACTGTGATTGCTGTTGCACAATTTCAAACTGCTTGACTAGCAGTGCAATGCCAACATCTTGCTGCCTCCAGCAAACAGGGAGTTAAGCAGCAAATATGTATGTTGGGAGAGGCTGTGACGTTCTTTTTACACCATTGTCCGGGCTTTAACAAAGAGTCGGCACTTTGGGCCCAAGGCCTCCTTCATCTTTTGCTGTTGTTTTATTTTCAAGAAGGCTCTTTATCGTCGTATGCTGAGACTATTCGACAGAAGCTTCAGCAGTTTCGAGTGCACCCTGCCACCTACACGTGGCCAAGATTTCAATCTCAGAATGCGGTGTACATGAAAACAGCAGTGGACTGGCGCCATTTTTCAAGGATTGAGCATTATCGGCAGCCTTCCACATTCATGTACATAGGCTCCACGAGCCAATCAGTTTTTCGAAGAGAGTCTAACAGATTCTCAGTAGCCAGGAAACTGGCAAAAGGAGGTGAAGCTCAGGCAGAGCTAGCCATCCGTTATTGGGTGTCCAATCAGTGTCTTGA